TGGGGGGGAGGGGGAGGGGGGTCATCATAGAAAAATGGATTGCGTTCTTTGTGTAGCAATAATAAAAATATGAAGAAAAAAGATAGCATCAAACAGTTAAACAAACAAAGACATTGTGATTTTAAAAAAATAGCAAATCCCATTAAATTGTAGCCTAGTATTGAAAGCTAGAGTGAAATTATGTTCTCTGCAAAATAAGACATGGTCGTGGCGTGCTTGGATGTTATGTAGACGGATTTGGACCGACAAGTGACGTAGCCAACAAGGCAACGCCAGGCAAGGAAATAATGACTTTTGTTCTGACAACAAATAGACTTTAGCACAAAAAAATCTATAATCTGAGTGGTCACTGCTTGCTTCATTCTCACGTGCTTTGAGCGACAAGACTGAATAGGTATTCCTATCCAACGCATTTGCACACTGCACTGTGTTTTTTTGTAATGTGTGTTGACTGTTTTTTATAAGGGACAGTATTGTGATGAGCGACAACGATATGCAGTTCCTGCATTTTATCGTTTTTTTTTTCCCATTCATCAGTTACTCAATAAAGAATTAAAAATTATTATTATTGTTGTTTCGTTTGTGGTGCACCGCCATCTTTCAACAGGGTAGAGGGTGTTAAAAACATGAGGGCCCATTTAAAGGGAAATAACTATGTCATCTTTGCACAATATCAATCAATTAATATTGCAGAAGTCAAATACAACCAAGAGGACGGCATTTTTGTCAATATGGAGAAAGTCGACAGACCTGTCCGAGAAATATTAAGTTTATAATCTTTTTTTTTTTTTTAACTGAGTAACACGAAAACTTGATAACATCTTTATCATATCAACCGTAATGTGAAAGTGTGCAATAAGAACACATTTATTTACAACTGACACAGCCAAATAAGCTTATGGAAGTTGGAAGCTATCTGGGACATTAGCATAATATTATGCTCAAAGTGTGGACAATTTGTCTCGAAACAAGCTTAAACTTCAAACAATTGAATAGCCATGTGGCATGCTCAGGGGCCATTTCTTTGGACGTCTTCTCCAACACTGAGTTTCAACCATTCCTTTATTCATGGGTTCTTTCCTTAAACTTTGTCTTCTATTTTTTTAACCC